GATTTTACAAATAGCTGAAATATTTAGGATTACAGCCTAGGCATACATTTTAAATTTAATTATAATTTAGATTTATAAGGCAACCCAACTCCACCCTGTCACTGGGTGGTAAATGCTCTGATAGGGAAGGTGACTAGTCAACCATTATTTCTTCCTCACTAAATTCATATATTACTAGTTAATTATGGTTTATTATGTCACAACTGAATGTATTTATATACCAATCAAGTTTGCAACCCAAAGTAGCCATATTCATATGATATTATAAGGCAAACCCAAACAAACACATCAGAGCATAGCAGGCTATGTAAATCAGGACATTCTTTTCTAAATCCCACCATCTGCTTCTGTTACAAGGAATACACTGCATAATAAGCAGGAAAGAGGAAAGCTGAGAAAAAGATAGATGAGGAAAAACAACCATAGGAAGCTTAAATTTGAAAATCCATTCCACGATCTTTTGCTACTAGAAGAGGGAAAGAAAGATGGTGCCTCTTCGTTTCATTTGATCTACCAAAATGGATTCTTGTCTCGAATCTAATAGAGGAAGTGTCATTGGATCCGTGTCAAGTATTCTGCTTCTGAGGGCATCAAACTGGTTTGGAGGTAATCAAGACAGACACACCTCTATCTGGCAATTTACACCATGGTCTGCTTCCAAACATCTGCAGTATTTAATAATAAAACTGGCTCTGGTTAAAAGTGAAGTCTTTTCTCTCATATAATTTGTAGGCATTTTGCTTTTTCCTAAATATCTTGTTTGAATGAGTTGGCAAAATTCTCCATGCATCTCACCAGTTACTGCTTAGGTTTAAATTTCCATTAGGTTCCTTTTCCATTAATCTGCAGCAAAAAAGCCAATTAACCAAATTAACCATAACCGATGTATGTTGGTGGGTTTACATAGCAAGCAAATTCATAGCTACATTTTTTGGAAGTTTTTAAAAAGCCACTCAGATGGAAATGCCACTGCAGTCAATTTTCCTCCAGGGCCGAATCAAGAACAATGAATTATTAATCTGCACGACAATTTTCATGATAGGAAGCAGTGGGAAAACCAAAGAGGAACTGTGTGTTTTAGAAATTCCGTTTGGGCTAGTTTACATTTGATTGTAGCTTTTATGAAACTCATTTAAAATTTATGATGGCCCTTATCTGAAACACATTTTTCATTCTTCTGACTTATACAAACAATAGGCTTTACAAACCAAATGTCTGTAAAATGTACATGTATTTTACAAGCAGCCACTGATACAATGATGATGATGATTTAAAAGCTGCTATTTTAATAAAAGGATTTTTTCACAGTGGTTTTACCAGGTCAACCAACAGCCCAGCTACTGTAATAATATTCTCCTGGTTCATATGTTTCCTCCCATCTGTTTGTCAAATTAGCTATAGAAATGGTCTTATGTAGGAGTCTCATTAATAGCATCTTGGCTGATTTAAAATGTTGATGGTTATAATGATGATGATGATGATGACAATGATTCTTCCCACTTGCAGTTATTGTATATTGCTCTGGGTACTTCTTAAGGTGGGAAAAAGCAGAATACTAATTAAATACACTTAATGTAATAACAATAAATTAATAGGAATTCCATCATATTCCAGAATTCTCTGAAAGGATTACTTATCCAGTTCTTCTTCCTTTCCCCTTAGAATGTACCTGTTCTGTAGATACAGTTTTCAAAAATAGCTTCTTGCAATTCTGCTTCATGACCTCAGCTTTCATAAAACAGAAAAAAAACTAGCTACTTTTCTTGATAGCAGATTTTATAAATCTACACAGCCATAATATTCTTGTTGCCTTCTTCTTTTCTCTTCTAAAGAAATTTGAAAGGGAGGGCGTGGGGGCAAATATATTGCTGGGAGTGCAATATATATTGCTGAGGGGGCAAATACATTGGGGGTGACAAATATATTGCTGAAACAAACAGGACACCAGCAGCTTTGCCTCAGTACATTAATCTCAGAAGTGGCTACATTCAGGTTTGATTTCTGCAATATATTGAGTTATTTAAGTTTTCTGAAACATGCCTTATAAAACTAACACAGGTCCAAATAAAACAATTTACAAAAGATACATTTTCAGTACTGCCAGTACTACTGGAATGTTGGGTGGAAGGTGTAATTAAACTGCATTTAAAAAAACAATGAAGTACATGGTTTTTTTAAAAAATCCCTAATCCACTTAGTGTCCTGGATTAGACATCCTTGCACCCTCATCTAGGATGTGACACACATTGTGATCCAAATGTACACCTTCGGCTAGAACAGGTTTGTCTGCTCTACCACCAGGCTCAGAAACTGGTGTGGGATGATTTACTGTTAATAGACTCCCACTTTCTTCCTTCTAGTCAAGATGCAGAACATCTAACGTAAGCCAATTTATTTTGGCATCTGAAACACAAATTCAACAAGAACATCCTCTCCTCCCTGACTGTATAATTAACACAGCAAATTTTAAAAGTAAGAGTTTTCTGTCTTTTCATGATAATGCAAACCAGCTGTTTGAGGTGACCTTCTCACTCTTTTAGCCGCTCACTCCACAATATGAACAAAAACCCAACACTGTTTGACAGTCCCTTTCTTAGTCATTCTGAACAATATTACAAATGGCTGCAAAAATTATACAGGTCAGATTTATTAATCCTGTTTCCACCACTGATGGGCAGCAGTTGTTCCAGATTTTCTAGCCCTACCTTGAGATCCCAAAATTGTGTCTAGCACCTTCTACAGAGTGCAATGCATGTCTTCTACTGCTCCATCCTTGTAGCACAGATCTGCAAACTATTTTTCCAGATCAGTCATTGCTTTACTAGCTATGTCTTATGTTTTTCCTACCAGCTTCAAGAATCAGCTGCTATTAAGCCTTTGGTGCTTCATATGCAACACAGCACCAATAATTATACTTGAGTCAGAGAAGGATGAATCTTTCTATTAACAGCTATCTGGAAGAAAAGAATTTTGACTTGCAACTAGAAGGAAGTAGAAAAGGCCTCTAATATGATTTATTTATTTATTTATTTATTTAAGAAAATTAACATGGTCTCCCATCTTGTACAACATAACTCTAAGGAGTTCACAGCAACAATAAAAATACATAAGAAAAAAAATCTAAAAAACCCCCCAGCACCCAGTGCCCTAAAACAACAATCCCCAATAACAACATAGCACTAACTGGGCTTCAACACTAGAGCCAGTTTGGTCTAGAGATTAAGCCACCAGGCTAGAAAGTGAGATACTGTGAGTTCTAGTCCTGCCTTAGCCAGAAAGTTAGATGGGTAATCTTGGGCTAATCAGGCTTTTCTCAGCCCAACCCACATCACAGGATTGTTGCTGTGGGGCAAATAGGAGGAGGAAAGTATCTTGGATATGTTTGTCACTTTGAGTTATTTGTAAAAAATAATAAAGGGGGGATAGACAATAAATAAATAAATAAATAAATAAATAAATAAATAAATAAATAAATAAATAAATAAATAAATAAATAAATAAATAAATAAATACTCAAGGATGAAATATATGATCAAGAATGAAAGCAATAGGTACAAAATAAGTGTCTGAAATAATGGAACAGAGAGAGAGAGAGAAAGAGAGAGGGGGAGAGGGAGAGGGAGGAGGGGAGGGAGGGAGGGAGAGAGAGAGAGAGAGAGCAAATGCTTTGTGGGGGGAAAAGCTTTTAAATAGATGAAATACCAGTTCTGGAAATTAGTACCATTAACTTTGAAGTGGAATTTTCAATTCTTGTTTTAATGAGAACCTTTAACCACCAGCAAAATGTTCTTGTAGAAGTCAAGGTTAAAGCAATCAACTGAGCTGTTTAGAATATTAAATTGAGCAGCTATGGCATTTTGAACAGTGTCCTATGCCAGTTTAGTTATCATTCCTATAATAGGCAGGGGCAGGATACTTTTAAAAGCCAGAAGAAGAGAGAAGAGAAAGTAACAGAAAAGGATTACTGAATTAATGCCCAGTTTACAAGCTTTCCAGGAATAGCTAACATTGTTTAGAAACAAACAATATTAACGTACATTGTTTAATCAACAAAAAAGCTTGTGTATTAATTTCAATACAAGTTATATAACATAGGACTGTTTTATGTAAATTAGCAAAATAACTGCTGCAAATACAATACAAAATATTTACATAAAATACAACTAAAAATTGCCTGAAAATATATACAAGTACAAAATGCTTTAAAATCCGTTTCTTTGGCCATCTGTCAAGAAAACAAACATTAAGACAAAATGTATGGATCATCTTTTTCTGTGATGCCAGCACAGATTTGCTCATCCAATGTTGTACAATAGTTCTCATAGTTACCCTGTTTACCTTAAGTTTCGGCTAGATTCCTTATATTAGGGATATAACTTTGGAGAATGTATAGATTCTTTCTTTTAATACTGTTTTATTCTATTATTATAAAACACAAGTAGTACAGTATATTATTTAGGTATGGTAGTTTTTATGCAGTGCTGAATGGAGATTATTAAAGCTCTTAATGTTTAGATAACTTAAACCAGGGGTAGGCAACCTTGGCTCTTTTATGACTCATGGACTTCAACTCCCAGAATTCCTGAGCCACCCATGCTGGCTCAGGAATTCTGGGAGTTGAAGTCCACAAGTCATAAAAGAGCCAAGGTTGCCTACCTCTGACTTAAACCTTTAAAGACAAAGGAAAAAAGTTTATATCCATATTTACTATGATTTCTAAAATGTTAATATTAATAAGCATAACATTATTTAAATTTACAACTGCTGCTAAATGTGAGATCCATATATGCATCCTTAACAGCAGTATGGTTATTGTAGAATCAATCTCATAATCCTATACATTTTTACCCAAATACAGCAATGTTAAGGCAAGCCCAAATGAAATAAATTCATTTTATGACTTTTGAATTATATCTCTAATATGGCTAACTGTTGTTGGTTACATAGAACGAAATTAAACAGATCTTTGGTCTGATACAGCAACACATAAAATGCCTTACCTCATTTGGATCCTGCTGATCTCGCAAGGTAATCATATTCTTGATGAGACTGATAAAAAAACCATTCACTTCATCTCGTTTCTTATTTGGCAAAATGCGAAGTAGAGGGATCATTATAAATGGAAATGCAACTAAAATAGAATTTTGAAAGAGCAACATTAGCAGTTGTTCAATTATCAATTAATGCAATTAACTCCAACCCTTAACTTCATACTGTTTTTCTTCCAAATTGAGAAATCTATTTTTCTCCCTTTTTAACCTTTTTCTAAATAGTCTAGCTTATCTTCTAAAAAAGTGAGATAATTTCAATTAAAAAAAATTAAAGGTTGCTCCAATTGATATCATGACAAGGCTTTTTTTTTTTTTTTTTAAAAAGAAGTTCCTACAATATATGATGGCTTTAAAATACAATTGTGAGGTTATGAATTCATACCCATTAACCTGTCTTGCTCTGAAACCCAGTCTGCCTCACTCCCTAACATTTGCATATTCTTCACAAACAATATTTATAGAATCCTGAAACAATTAAAAGGTCTATCTTATGGCTGTGGCAAGGTTTTGTGTAAATATACCGTTTAATTAATGAACTATGAAACAGAGGACAGTGAAGACTTTTCATATGAGGAATTTGACCAGAAATATTTGTCCTTTATAGGAACTATACTGTAAGTGTTATAGTGTAACTTACTGGTGTTAATATTAATAATTTACTTAAGTTCGCTGCACAAATTTGAAGCTTAATAGGTAATTCTTATGTAAGCAGCGAGAAAGTGAAAGTGAAAGCAGCCATTGTTCTTAAAGTGAAGAACAATGAATTTCTGTTTTACACAGAGTAACTATTGTAATATTGATGGGTTCAAAATAAAAGTAAATAAAAATAAAAAATATTAAACTGCTTTCACATACACAGAAAGATAGCTTGCAGTTCAATCCTATGCATGTTTACTTGGAAGTAAGTCACAATGGGAGGCATATTCCCATGAAAATATTAATAAGACGTTATTGTTTTTAGTCACATTAAAACAGGGATATCCAAGAAAGATGTTAGAGCAACAAAGATACCAATATTATCATTTGCAAAAAAAACATAATAATGTTCATTTTCACTGACATTTGCTAAATATAAAGTAGCATTGTTAAAGAGATATTTTCTTTTATGTTTATTTCAAATATTTAAATTTGTGGCATAATGCAGTTACAGTATTTGCTGGTATACCCTTTTTTGATGATTTTATATTGACTACATCCAATCAGTACTGCTAATAAAAATATTCTTAAAGGTGGGATAGAGCTTTATAAGGACAAATCCAGAAATCAGTTCAAAAGTTGGCATTCAGGAACAAGATAATACAGGTAGTCCTTGCCTAACAATGGTAATGGAGACTGGAATTTCTGTTGGGGTTTTTTAAAATAAATTTTTTACATTTAGGTATTTAAAAAGCAACGTGATGGTCGGGTTAATCAATAGTTCAGTAACATACAATTTTTTTTAGCACAAATCTCAAACTACAACCTCAAATATTTCCTCTCTTTTTCCCTTAATATCTACTATCTCATATTTAAGCTAATATAGTTCTTATTATATCAACTAAATAAAAACATTATTACATTTATCAATCAATTTTTAGCTTATACATATCTTAATTACTTTTACATTCAATCTTTACATTCAATCAATGTCCTGTTATTAGTTTTTCCCAATTTTTAGTTTCCCATCAATATTCAAATTTAACATTTGATATTTATAATTTCCAGGTTTTAGGTAACCAAAGTTTCCTTTATCTCAATTCATAACAGAATCTAATATTCAAAATACACATCTTATCTATTTGGATACAATCTTGTTCTATTTCCTAAATTTATCTATTTCCCCCATCTTACATCATCTAATTAATAATACAGTATCCCCTTTAATAAATCAAAGACCATTATATATATTGTCTGAGTTAATCATTAATCGAACATATTCATATTTTTTTCTTTTGGGTCTAATTTTTAAGTATTAAACAAATAACATCCTTATTTTTGTCTAATTTCCAAATATTTTAAATTTAATGACCAAAATTTCCCTTATCTCAACTTCTCCCTTTGACCCTCTAATTAGTAATATGAAATCCCCTCTAATAAATCAAAACCCCAATTTTCTTCAGCCTTATTCTGGGTTTCTTTCTTTGCCATCTAGCCTTCTATGTCAATGCTTTTAAATCATCAAATAGATCTCCCTCTATTATTATATATATTGTTTGGAATAAGAGAGACCATTTTGTTGCCATTTTTTTGGGGAAGGGCTAGCCCATTTGTATTCCTTAAATCATCTCCCTATTATTCCAAATTCCCACAATTGTCCTGGTATGTTTATCTTCCATTCAGTCTGTTCTTCTTGCTCCTCAAATTTCTTCTGGTTTATATAGAAAGTCTTTTCCATTTTCAGTGTTGTCAGTCCCTTTTCTGGATATTCCATTAACTGTATTTGTTGGTCAATTGAGTACTCTGTCTTAGTATTTGATTGTTCCACTTCTTCTGTTACATTCTGCATTGTTAGTTCTTTAGTTGTAGTCGGAATTTGGGTTTGTATATCTAAGCTGACATTTTGTTCTTTTCTGTAACATCTTATTTCATCACAAGCTGAAAGAATAGTTTCATGTATTGCTTTCAACATGGAAAGAATCTTTTCCTGGTCCTCCTCCATTTCTTTCACATGTTTATAAATAATCTTTATAGTAGACGTTGTTTGTCAAGCAAGATTTTATAGTCCAAGGTATTTCATCATCTCATATAGTAACCAATATTCCTCAAATAAAGAGATAGGAAGGCAATTCCTCACATATAATTCTGAAAGTCAGTAAAGGTTTACATTCACAGTTCAACTAGGCCTGTTATGCCACCCAGCTGTTCTCTTACAGCTGAGTTTCTCATAGGTGGTGCCAAGGCCAGAAGAGTCTTATCTAAGGTCTGGGCTTCGAGCCACGTCTCTTTTAGGAAATAACAAGTTGTAATACCAAACTTTGCCAGAAGATGTCACCGATGCCGTTTAAAGTTTTTTAAGTCCAAAATTTTTATAAGCCTTTTTCCAATTTTATTTCTTTTTTGTAGATAAAAGCAAAAGTCTCCAATAAAAATAGGAAAATTTTTGGTCCCCAAATTTCAGGAACATATAAATCCAATTATATTAAAGATATTCTTTTAGTGCTTTAATCCCCCTGAGTAGTCAGTCACCGCTATTCTTAGAGGGTGGGATAGAAATTCCCTTCCCTCTCTCCTCACAGGGGAAAAGATACTTCGGGCAGCTTTTACAGGAAAAAAAAATACCAAGGATAAAGAGAAGATCGGATCTCACCCAGTCTTATCCGTGTTGCTTTAGAAGTGCCTGGTGGTAAGTTTGATTTCGGCTGTCTGCAGCCTAATGACGGGCCATATTGCTATGGCCGGTCTTTCTTCCGCCGGTTTGGAGGGCTGCCCCGGATCAAGCAGAAGGGCTGCCGCCCTCCTGCGATCAAGCGGGGGTCCCCTCTTTGCTCATCACCCCTACAGGGCAACATTCAACCTTTTCCAGGGTCTCCCAGCGGAGAGAAACCGAACATGGAAGACGGAGCTTGCCTTCCAGCATCCGTGGCGGCCACGATGGCAAACCAGAATGTCCGTTGTTAAGTGATGCAGATATAAAGCATGAGGTCACATGACTGTGTTGCTTAGCAATGGCCATTCCAACAGTCCTTGTTGTTATCATTAAGAGAGGATTGTGGGTCATTAGAGAGAATCTCTTTGCATCTTCCTGCTGTTTTCAACAAGCAAAGTTGGAAAAGTTGGCAGGAAGTTGCAAGTCCTGAGTAATTAGCATACAGGCCGGTGGGTGGGTGAATGGCTGCTACAATGAGGTCAGAATATGGCCATGGCAGGGGGGGATTATGCAGATGGGAGCTGCCACACTACATGAACACAGATGGGAGAGTACATTGCTGGCTGCCACTTCATTGTGCAGGCATGCCCTGCCGAGTGCAGGCAGGAGTGTTGCAGATGGCCTCACAATACACAGTATAAGATCCCTGAGATCTCATATCCCATAGCCACGTTCCTTGAGAGAAAAAACAGTGGGAGTAACTTGAGGCCCTCTGTGCTGACTTCCCTATTAACTTTGCTTGTGGGAGGGTGGCAAGGAAAGTCATAAATGAAGATCACATGACTGTGGGACGCTGTAACTGTCATACTGGTGCACCAGGTGTACCCGGTAAAACGCCCCCCTGGCCACAGCCGTCAACTGGTCTTCCAGTGTCAGCCGTGGATCCAGCCGTGGATCCAGTGACGGAGCTTGGGCCATATCCTGAGGACCTAGTTCACGATTCGGTTGAAAATCTGGCGGCGGCCTGGGAGACGGCCGCTGCCGCAGCATTGGACCGAGTCGTGCCTTTGCGGCCTCTGACCCGGCGCAGATCTCAATTGGCTCCCTGGTTCACCGAGGAGCTGAGAGAGATGAAGCGCCGGAAAAGACGCCTGGAGAG